ATCTAATATATTACAATATTTATCAGATAAATATAATAATAGATTACTGAGTAATTAAAAGGTGATTTCAAATAATAATAATAATAATAATAATAATAAAATGGTATAAACATCTTGTTTATTATACCTTTTATGGTTAAACATCTACATCTTCTTAATTTTTAGAAGTTGATTTGATTTTAATTTCGAAATATCAGGTTTTGGTTTAAGTGAAATATTTAATTTAATTTTTTCTTGTTCATTTTCACGTTTAAGCTCAGTGAAGTTTTTCTAAAAAAAAAAAATTTTTGAAAAATACTTTTTTTTAATAAATAAATGAATAAATGAATAAATAAATATATATATATATAAATTACCTCTTCGTCTACATCTACTTTAACCTTTTTATGTGCTCGTTCGATTTGTTCTTCAATTAATTTTCGTGTCCTTTCTTCTTCACTTTTTTCTGCTCGTTCTTTTTTCAAAATTGCCTCCTATTTAATAATACAAAAAAATTTTTTTTTTGATTATTAATACATAGCAAATTTTTTTTAAAACTATTATCAAAACTAATATTATTTATTTTATATGTTATAATCATTATCATCATCATTACCTGTCTTGCTAAAGCCTTTGGACTATTATCTACCCAACTAATAAACCAACCTTTGGGTGTTTCATCAACTGTACAAATCCCCTCTTTTCCAAGGTATATAACAAAATCTGTTAAAGTTTCCCACATGGTACCATTCATGTGCACATGATGTCTATCTGAAATATATTCTTGATAAACAAGGTTTGCATAAACTCTTTTAGTGCCCCATCTAATAAGTATTAATTTGAATTTTTTTTAATTAATTAATATATAAACATATATGAATAGCTAGGTAGATAGATCTTTTTATTACCTTCTAGAAAGTAATTTAATAAAATCATCTAAAAATGTTTTAGAATATCCTTGCATATATGTCGTAGGAGACTCTTTTAACAGATCCATTTGACGAAGATGTGATTCAGAACGAATATGACACTGTATAAAAAAAAATAAAAAAAAAATAAGTATTATTGAATTGTTTGTATGTATGCTAAAATACAAAGTAAAGTGTTTCCACCTGATAACCATTTTCATCTCTACATTGTTTTTGACACATTTGACAGTACCATTTTAATTTTTGAAGACCTTTAGCCTAAAATTTGGGAATGTTTGTATAAGTAATTTAGATCTTAGGGAAAGAATAAAATAACCATTTTATACTAGTTAAAAAAAAATAACTACCTTAATTCTATTAGCTATAGCTTTTGGTGTTAAAGCCTCGTGTTTTGGCATTTTATAAGAAAAAGATCTATAAAATTTCTAAAAGTTTCAAT